AAGTGTCTAAAAAAGCACGCACGTGCTAACACGACAATAATGCGTTTATAAGTTTGAGCAACAATTTTAATTTGTAAAAACTCATAGAAATTCGAAAAGTAGGCAGCAAGTTAAAAAGCCGAAGATTGGTAGTTGAGATATAATATTTGCACTAGACAAGCAAGGGTTACCACGACGTCCTCTTTTTACCGGACAATGTACATGTCCTTTTTTCACGCATCTACCGGGCGTTCAGGCCAAAATGTCCTCTGTCCTCAGAAAAATGAAATGGATTGTATGTAAATTACTAAGAATACCTATTTTGTTTTTTAGTCATCTGTATACAGGGTGACTTGCGTAACGCATCATAGGGATTTCAATGTAAAATTCATAACATGCGATTATTGGCTCCCCAAATTATTTTAGAGCAAAAATGTATTAAGGTTTTTTGTAGAAAAAAATTTTTTACGTCAATCAACCGTATTAGTTTTCAATTTTTTGCATAATAAAGACGGAAAATTGGAAAAATAAAACCCCCATCTTTTTCAATAATCTGTGATGCCATGGAATTTTATAATACAAAAACTACGCCAATATCCGTCATGCCATGGAATGTCTGCTATAAAACAAATCAAATTCTATCAAAAAGTATATTATATTTAGAACAAGGAATTCAACATAAAGAACGACCAAATTACTAAAAACGGTTTCCTAATATAACAACTTACAATAAATGTTCGAATAAGTCACCATTAACTGCAAGACAGTAACCAAGTCGATCATAAAATCCATTTCGAACTGCTGCTAATTGATACCTAACTGGATATCTTTTTGTTTTAGAAAATTCCATGGCATCGCAGATTATTGAAAAAGATGCGGGTTTTATTTTTCCAATTTTCCGTCTTTATATGAACAAAATTGAAAATTAATACGGTTGATTGATGTAAAAAATTTTTTTCTACAAAAAACCTTAATACATTTTTGCTCTAAAATAATTTGGGGAGCCAATAATCGCATGTTATGAATTGAAATCCCTATGATGCGTTACGCAAGTCATCACCCTGTATAACAGTCCTAACACTATCGCGGGTTTCTAAATGAATATTCGCCATATTTTTATTATTTGTCTCAGTATTATAAATTAGACGTAAAACTAGTAAAATGCACGAGAAACTGAAACAATTTCTGTTTTTACCTACAAGTGTTCAATGTGCACTGTGACGTCAGATTGAATGAACGTAGAGGCCATGCGAAACGAGCATTGTCATATTGCCAATGGCGTCCAATCTAGCACACTCTAACATAAGAGACAGGAAACAATGCTTGCGCATGCGTAAATATCCAAACTGTTTGAGTTGCTCTTTGGCCTGTATGGATGTATAGTTTTAAATTTTAAGAAAATCAGATAATAATTTCGAACACCTGGTACATTCATGCATCGTAGTAGGTCCTACTCGCGATTGCCATAAATATATGTTACTGTGTCATGAGCCACCTAGTATGACCTACGCAAAATACAAAATCACGCACAGCTTCGGGACTAATACTTAAAAAAAATAAAACCGTCGTCAGTGAAATTAACTACAAAAGGTCACCAAAACTAGATGTACAAACAAAATTTAATTGCATTTATTTTCGGAAACAATTTTTAAATCAAACACCCAAATTACACAAGCCTCTAAATTTACTGGGTTCATAAACACACGTAATAATCTTTAAAAACAATTACAAACACGTTAAATCTAAAATTAAACCTTGTCTTTCCGCAGTACTACCTAAATTAAATCTAACGGAAACAAATTTAATCTAAATAAAACAGCACAGACGATAATAAAAAAGTCAGTTACTATTCAAACATCTTGTTTCTGTGGAGTTTGGGAGATTAGGAAAAAGCAAAGCTATAAAATTTGGCACCCATCCTCTTAATGTTACGACGTGGTGCCACACTCATTTGTCCCTATAACCTTCGTTAGGGATTAGGAGATATCCACCTAAAATGTTGGTTACTAATGACTGGAACATTTTTAAATTTTACAAAGTACCATGGTTGCGAAAACACGTTTAGAATATTGAAGTCGCCCATATGAGTAGGGTTTGCCTACCCATTCAGGCCGTAAAAAGCCAATTTCTATACTTGTTTGATTTTTTTCAGTGCTTTAACTCCAAACTTACATAATTAGCCACAAATGTAAGTCATATAAAGTTTTTATGGCAGATCCCTTTCAGTGCGAGTTTTCCGCCCTTTTGGCTGTTGCTGAGTCGCTACGGATTATATGACTAGACTATATAGCCTGGTTGCCTGGGGTACACCTATATTTTTAGCTAATTCTTAGATCACTTTATTGCAAGAAAAGTAAAGCTCAACTTAAGATTCGTTTTTTCGATCCGTCCATTTGGGTGTCCACTTTTGTTTGGATTCGGTCGTGTTCAACCCCACTCGTATGGATCGGGTACTGATTGCTGAGCCTTATATCAAACAATCAATCCACCTTTATTAGGCGCCAACATGGCACAACATTATACAATATAAAGTCCTGCTTCTCCCTGTCCCATGTCTTCTGTATTCTCTTCTTCTCCACATATTGTACATTTTCTTCTGGTTTCCATTTCGCTTTCCCTGTTTCTTCATTTCCTCCCTCCCATAAATATTTTGGAACCACTCCCTTATTAGATCTTTGTAACTACTACTCCCTCGTCCGCTCTGTATATTGAGTCTTTGTGCATCCAGATCCCTTTTTGCCAACTCATTTTCCACCCTTTCTTCTATTCCTCTCCACCTTTCGACCTCAGCCCGTCGGCATCCCTTTCTTTCATAACATTTTCCTCTTTGCCCTTCTCTCCTTTTTCGTTCACTCTCGTTATGAAGTAGTCTTTTACCAATTCGCTTTCTTTTTCACTCCCTTCCTTGAGCCTTACCGCCCTGCGTCCCGACGCTATCCTTATCTTCTCCATTTTTATTTATTGCTCTAATATACAATTTGGTGTTCTTCCGTTTAGCCTTCCATTATACCCATTTATAATACCTTCTTTGTATTCCTTCCAGTTCATCCCATTCCTTCCACCCCCGCTCCGCTCCGTACATGAACATTCCTCTCACCATTACATCGAGCATGTATTTTTTTGCTCTGAAATTGTTTATGAATTAAACTCCTCTCTATATCCCCCACACCTGTCTCATCGCCACCACCTCATTTTCTCTTATTTGCGCATTTGTCCCGTTTATCTTTCATGGTATTCTAATGAAAGGAACCATTTTTTCTACCAAGTTCCGCCCTTCTTGCTGACTCCTTATTAAAGGGGAGGGGGGGGGAGTGAAACTGGTTTTATCCTTCATGGTACTCCAATGAAAGGTCTTAACGAAACGAATTAATTTCTATCAACCATCGTCCTCCTCCCCGACTCCTTATTATGATCGACTTTTTTTTTCGTTTAGCCATATCTCCGTTCTCTCTCTCTTTCTCTTTTTCCATCTCTACTCCCTTTATAGTTATGTTGTTTTTTATTTTTTCTCTTTCTTTTCTCTCAATTTCTTCTATTGTCTTCTCTTTCATTTTATCTATTTATTCATTTGTCTCATTGGCTCCTTTTCTTATATATCCACCTCTATTTCTTCGATTAACGTTTCAATTGCTTTCTACATGTTTTCCTCTTCTCCTCTCTTCAATTCGCTATTTCCTTCCCCTTTTTCTATTCCACTCTCTTTCCTTTCTCTTCGCTTCCGCATACCTTTGTTCCGGTGATCTTGAAACTTTCCTACTCCTTCTAAACACTTTGTGTCGGGCGCTAAATCTGGGATGTAGGGTGCATGTGGCAATTATGTTGTGGTTTTTGTTCTCCGTGAGTTCTGTCGTTTTACTTTAAGAGCCTTATTCAATGTGTCCATTAAGCATAGCGCTCTCACAGTTCAAAAAAATGGTCGCTATCAATTGTTGATGCTTTTTGCTTCCTTTGAGGCGGATCCCTTATGAACCAAGTGCATTCATTTCTGTTTTGTGGGAGGGTCCAGTGAAACATCTTTGACAATCCCCAAATAATAACAACTGTTATCGTTCACCAAGGGTCCAAATTTCGTTCCTTGCCTGTTTCTGCTATGGCGTAAGGAATCCAGCGAGCAATTACTTTTTATAATGTATTTTCATACACTCCCCACTTCTTTTGGTAGCACTGGAATTTTTATTCGTCAGATCAGACAACCGTGAATCATGGCTTCCTCAGTTCTTGCCCCAATAATCGGCCTTCCTGATCTTTGGTCGTCCTGACTCTTTATAACTGACATCTATAGGCCGATCTTCGCACCCTGGCTACGCTGCCTTCTTAGTAAATTAGCTTTTGGCCCCATCTTTTGATGTAATCGTGTGATCGTAATCTTCTTCACTCTTATGAACTCGTCAGGATCTAATCTGTTTTTTGGTTTTCAGTACCATATTGCCATTCATTGAAAAATGATTTATAATTTATAACATATCTGTGCTAATTTATACTATAGTTCAATTCAAAGTAAATTGTGTGTGACCCATCACCGATACTCTAAACCAATCAATAGCTTACGTACGCCATGTGAAAAATGAATCATACGCCACTTATAATTTTGGGTGTATCTTACGGTTAAATAAAACGAAGGTACATATGTAACTAAAATATTTCCAATACTTACTAATTTCCGTTTCTTATTGTTCTAATCTGCATGCCGCTGTAACCCTAAAATTACTAGCACTCTCCCCACCCTTGGCCTCCTCGCCTATTTCCAGCAGCCGTTCCATGGTTTCATTTGATCGACTACCTTTTCTACAGGCGCGTCCGTCAAGTCTAACGAAATTATTTAGATCAAAATGTTAATAAAATAAAGATAATAATCGGATAAAACGTGTGAGTTACTTTACTATCGCGATTCACATACTCGCATATTTTCCAAAACGAACAAAAATTGACAGTATAGATAACATCCCTTTAGAAATAACGGACTAATTTTTTTAACCTAAATAAAAAAGATCTGATTAAATATCAATCAATTTTGATTTCAGCATCTGACGGAGATCTCCCAATCTCACCGCTTCTTGGTATCGTAATTGGAGCGGCGTTTACGGTTATTGTAGTCGTGATGTTAATAATTATAAGGGTTCGGAAAGCCCATCCGCAGCCAGAAGCACTGTACGAGCAAAAGGTGGTGGGAATCCCGCATCATCACAACATGTCTTCCACTAAGCCACTGCTAAGAAGCGGTTCGCCTAGGGAAGTGTCCGATGAGAGGGATCCCGACGTCATACCGGCGAAATATGGTATGTATGGTAATAATGAATTCATCAACTTAGTTTATTAAAGCGAAAGGGGTTTGTTGCCTTCCTGCCACGTGTAAACATTAATTTCGTTTGCAAATTATTAAATTGTACGTAACAACTTTTGTATGCACCCATTATATTAGAAGATGGAAAGTTGAAAATTGTAATTCGTGGCAATTTTTAGGATCGCCGGACGGTGCAAGCGACAAACAAATTGGTACCGTAAATGGCCCTTCAGGTCTTCCCGGAACCAATGTTCCTACGTCACCGAATCGTACACAAACTACGATAGTTCCACAGAATTGGATTAGTCCCGGTCCAGCTCCACCTATGGATTCTGTAGTACGTATTCTGAAATTTGTAATTTTACCTTTAAAAGTTTAAACCTCAACAGTAGGACGACTATGACGGAACATACCTATGAGGATCGAGGAGACGTTTCCATAATATACAGGATGGAATGTAGTATATTAACCTAGGCAAATAGTGACTGTATACAAAATTTATATAACAATTGTGTAACATTTTCATTTCTTATATATTTTTTGAAAAATTTTCTTGTATAAGGGTACCAACATGTATCATCGAAAAGAGAAAAAAATCTCTATCAACTAGTATCAAGTAGAGATCAGGTAGAAGGAATGTAGAGAGAACGTACAGAGAAGCTAGAAGCAAGGGAAGGTAAAGAGAAGGTATGGATCAAGTAGAGAACAGCTAGAGAAAGTAGAAAGAAGGTAGAGAGAAGGTACAGAGTCAATGTCGATTGTGACATCGAACATAAAATGGCAGGACTTATAGATATAAAAATCCACCGATAAATTGAGAGGTCCCGGTTCGCCTTTTTTTTTTTTCCCTACAATCTTTATCACCTCTAAAAAGCATTATGCGGGCCACTCTGTAATTGAGCGAAAGCCTGTTGAGGGCCCAGAACAAGAGAAGGGCAATAAATAAATAGATAGATCACCTCTTTTGTAAATCGGCACTAATATTCCTTCCTTCCATATATCAGGTAGTCTCCTGCTTTCTGTATCGTGTTTAATAGTTTGCTCATCTTTCTCTTGATAATATCTGTGGCGATAATCCAAGTCTCATTTCCTGCTGCTTTCCCTTTTTTCGGTCTTTTTAATTGCTGCTTAATCTCTTCTCTTGATATCTCGTCTCCTTCCACCTCCTCTCTTCCTACCTCCTATATTGCCTCCTCTTTCTCCTGCTTTCCTTGTAGTACCTTAAGAAAAAGTATTGCTTCCAGTCTTATATTTGTATCTTTCCTCCCGCTGTTTTTCTCTTTCTCTCTATTTATCATCTTCCAAAGGTCCTTCTCTGTATTTTGTTCTTTGTATTCTTTCAGTTTCTCCTTTTTTTTTCATTAATTTTCTCTCAGTTCCTTCTCCTATCTCTGCTTACTTTCTTCATCATTATTGTATATCTGTTTCTCTCTTCTGTATACTCTCCTCTCTCTTTACCTCTTTCTTTTTAATACTCTCCTTTATTATCTCTCCGAGTTCTTCTTCATGTTCCTCTAGTCTCCTTCTATAAGATTCCTTTTTCTCTTGTCGATAACTGTAGCCCCCTTCATCTTTGCATCTTTCATTTCTTTGTATCTTCCCTTTTGGACTCATTGTCATCGGTTGGTGATCCGATTCTGTCCTTGCTCCTCCCTCTATTGCTTCCAGTATTCTTTCATTTACTTTTGCATCATTAACTTCCTCCTTCTTCCTCCCATGCATGTGAATTGTACGTCCCCATCTACCTCCATATTCTGTTTCAAATTCTCCATGCTTTCTTTTCTGATAATTCCAGTAACACTTCTCCCTCTCTGTTGCACTCTTTATCTCTTGACTCTCTAACTTGGGTTCCTCTTCCCACCTTTACCCATTTCCCTTTTCTCCTTGTTCTGACACTAAGATCTCCCCCCAATATTAGCCCCTCCTCCTCCCTTTCCTTAATCATATTTTCTATTTCATTTTGGTAGCCTTTCATTCTTCACTGTTGTAAATAGTTATCACTCTGTGATTTTCTTCCCCTGCATTTCATGGGTCTTTCATGTATTCCTTCCTCTTCCCATTTCCTTATCCCTTTTTTACCCCTGTTAATATATCTCCTTTTGCATTTCCCATTATATTATCCCTCTTCTCAAATTCGTTCTGCCATATGTATTCATATCGGCCTAGTAGTTTTTGATGTATTCGATCGACGTCAAAGAATAACAACAAGCAGCTGAAAAGTCATTTTCACCAGCAAATATTTCCGGTTAAAGGAACCGATCTTTTTCAGAAAGTTTGCCCATTTTCATGTGTACATCTACATTTTTTTTACAGTGTATGGTTTTTGGGCTACAATAGCGTCGAATCGACACTTTTCATTCAAATTAAAAGCTCTATGGTCTTTCAGTGAAATTGAAGGTCAAGTTAATTAGGTTTTTGAAGGTATCTACTAAGTAAGAAAGCTACTAGCTTAGTCAATCTACTACTAAAATCGCCAAATCGCGGGGGATGCGCAACATATCGCCTTTTTGAATTTTAGGTCCCTTTTTTCGGTTTTTCCTCAAAACTTTTTCATGACCACTTATATTTGTAAAATGAAAGCTCATCAAATTTCCTACAAAAAACGTATAAACAATTTTTTAGCGCATTTCCACAAAAATAAAAAAAGGCGCTATTGTGGCCACTTTGTCCGTCCGTCGGCATTTAAGTGAAATTTGATACATAGGCACTTGGAATAACGGAAGATCAAACACCAGTTTCAAAATTTGGTTTTGCGCATGCCAACCTTTTTTATTTATGGAAGCATTTAAATGAAATTTGATACATAGACACTTGGAACAAAGGAAAATCTAACGTTAGTTTCAAAATTTACGCAGTACCAACTTTCTTATTTAGGAAAGCATTGAAATGAAATTCTTCTTATAAACTGAAATTAAAGTAGCACGTACAAAATGGATTGCACCTATGCAACGCTATCTTTCATATTCATATTTGTGGCCGGATTTTTACGATTTTAACAGAAGTTGCATCTTCGGCATCGGCAAATGGGAAATGAATGCAAGTGGAAATGTTCTTTTTGTAAATCGTTTACGATTACTTTTTTAACTTGTTGTATTATACCTGCGTCAGAATCGCTGTTTAAAACACACTTGAAATTACGTAAAAAAGCGATTAAAACACGACGAATTTTAAAGGTTGCCAAGTAACGTTACTTAAAATATCATTATGACACTATAATCTGGGACCGAAATAAAAAATCCTCTCAGTCTTAGATCGCTTTCTGCAAATGCAAAAGATTTCTCGTATCCTTTGTTGGAAGCTTTCAAACGCGCGTGGTTGCAAAACTTGTTCCACTTTTTAATCGCAGTATTGGTTGAAGTTTTGAATGAATGCACCTAAAGATAGGAGATTTAAATACCTTTGGCATTTCCTTCATATATCCCAGTATTAAAGACGCTTCTTATTCATCCACGCCAATAACCTTTCATAATCTTTATAATAGGCTTTACTGGATTTGGATTTTGCACCTACCAACTTTTCTTCTATTTCTGCAACAAGCAACTGAATGGCGGTATTATCTTTTTCAACCGACAAAAACGATGATTTTTTTAAGCAACGTCAAATGACATTTAGATGGTAATCATGGAATTATGAATAATCAGAAATCAGAAATGTATTCGAGTATAACGTCAATATGATTTTATTTTATTTCCCTTATATTTGCATTATATTGCAGATATAAAAAAATACTATACGAAACGTGTGTATAATTGGCCTTTAAATCCCTTGCATCCGCTGCGCATCGTACCTTTAAAATTGTCGCGCGTGCTTTAACGCCTCCCCTTCCTTAGCTATTTTGTCATATTAGTTGGCATTATCTCACAGTCGCTCAACACGTTTCTTCCATTGACCTTTAATTTTTGTCCGTAAATTTTCACATAAGCTGCAACTATGACTTCTTTGTGAAACAAGAAATTTCTCACCCATGCGGGTTTCTTCCCATCGTTCGCTCTTCCTCGATAAATCTGTTACTCTCCTCTGCCCCTCGCATCCTCAACTACTTTCTCATAACCTTGCTGATCTATAGCTCCTTTACGTATCAGTTGGAACTTGATGACATATTGTCATATAATAATACCTACAACAGTAGGTCGGAACGTTGCCAAATGTAACAAAGAATATATTTCTAGGGCAAATCGGGAACGGCATCCCCGTTGCGTTTTCAAACAATGTACGAGTACTCTACGGGTTGGTATTTTACTTTCCTATTCACGCAGTTTGTTGGGTAGCTAGCAAGCGGATGTATTAACTTTTGCGAAGTGTTGGTCAATCAGTAAATATTATAAAATCTCTTCATAATTTCGATATTAACAAAACCCGGAGAATTTCCACTAAATAACTATTTTTTAGTCTTTTGAAAGTCCCGAAATTCCGAAAGTTGTTGTTCATTAACCACGACGAAATTTGTGCCACGGAACTTTTTATACGCGGTCAATAACCGAAAATAGATAACTCGAACTTGTTTATTCACGACGTCCTTTCTGATACAGCCGTTTTATTTTATGCTTTCGAAGTTGTGAGTATTTAGAATGAAAGTTTATTGTGTTCTGGACCGCATAAAAGTTTTCTTTGTAATGTAAAGAAATGACACCTTCACCTTAAATCATTTCGCGAAATTATTTGATCGTTACTTCCACGTAACTGGAATTCAGTGTATCAACCTGCACTTACCTTTTTTCTACGATAGTCTTCTATTTTTGGTTCGTAATATGCAAATCTTTGCACTTGGTAAGATGAAAATTTTCACCGCAACCGCGAAAATGTTCTCAGATTTATTTGAGTACTCGGTTTGAACATGAAATTTCAACTGCAAATTTTTCAAAAAAAGAACACTTTTCTTTCGCCATCAAATCCCAATTAATTTCTTGGGCAGCAACGTATTTTCTCTCTCAGATCAAAACCAAATCTAAAAACTTTCCCTTCTCGTTTGAATTAATTAGTCTGCACCTATACAATGGCGTATCGTTAATCCTGACCGCCATGTTTATTATTTTTATTATTATTATGTAGTTAATGTCTTTTGTTACTACCAATCCTAGATGGTTTTAGGGTCGATAATCACCTTCCTACCCAACTCAAAACCAGTGGTTTTAATAGCTGACTTACACACAATGCATCGCCTTCTCAGTTAGGCATCCGGAACCCATAAAATAACAAAGGTTATTTAAGTGCACTGTGTTTACGGGTTCAGGGTTAGGCGAGTTAATTAATACACTCCAGATTACCAAAAAAACTTGATTTTATTCCACCAGTAAACAGACATATTCTTAACGTATATACAGGGTGGAATACTACTGTTGTGACGTCACTTAAACTGCAATGATTGTCATTTCAACACTCCTTCTCAATCCGGCAGTTTCAAGTTGTGTGACAGATGCAAAGAAATAGAAAACTAATTATTGAACATAAATTAGCAACTCAATAGTTTTTATACAAACAGATAAGATAGTTGGTGATAATAAAAAAATTCATAAACGTTGAAGTCCCAATTTCTGTCTAAAAGTCTCAAATTGCCTCCTACTGAGTCCCTTGGTGAGGATATCCGCGACTTGATCAGTCGTACAGATGTAGGTAACGTCGATCTGGCGTGACTTGTGAAGGTCCCTGATGAAGTTCTACTTCCCATCGACATGTTTCAATCGATTGTGTTGCCATCGTTGTAATAGGGGAATGCACGCTTAATTGTCCTCGTAGACGGTGATGGGCTGCGAACAGTCGATTCCCAGATCCTTGACAAGGCCCCTCAGCCCGATTAGCTCAGTGCCCGCAGAAGCTAGGGCGACATACTCTGCCTCCGTAGAGGGCAAAGCGACCGTGGCTTATTTCCTCGTCGTCCAGCTAGCGGTAGAACCTAGGACCTGGAACATGTAGCCTGAGATGGATTTGCGGTCTGTATTTCCTCCCCAATCCGAATCAGCATATCCAACTAGTGGCTCTGATTGTTGCTTTGGAAAGAACAGTCCAATATCCTTGGTATGTTGAACGTATCTCAGTATTTTCAGTCCATTCCATTGTTCTTCAGTTGCATGATTTTGAAATCGGCTGTAGAAGTTCACAGCAGTCTCGTAGTCAGGATCGCGTACATCAGACATCCTATCATTTGCCGATAAGGCTTGGTCTCGATAATAGACTAACCGTCGGGGTCCGCTGGAGGTTTGATATCAATTGGAGTAAACGCACCTTTACAGTTATCCATTCCGACACGTTGAAGAAGATTTTGTAGATAGGTTAGTTGACTCAGCATCATTCCTCTCTGATCTGTGTATTTTGATACCTAGGAACATCTAAAGTTGTCCAAGGTCTTTCATGCGAAACTTCTGTTGAAAATGGGTTCCAATTTTGTTAAGTGTTGATTGGCTGCTGCTTGCCATGAGGATGTCATCCACATAGATAAGGAGGTAAATCTTTTGTCCTTCGAAGAGCATTCTGTAAAGGCATTTATCATATTCAGATTGAACAAATCCAAGTACTGAACAAACGTGTCGAACTCTTCGTTTCATGCTCTAGGAGCCTGCTTCAATCCATAGAGCGTTTTATTTAGTTTACAAACCAGACGAGATTGGTCTTCGACGCCTTCAGGTAGCTGCATATATATCTCTTCTTTCAGCTTGCCGTGCAAGAACGCATTTCTCGCGCCCATTTGCCTTGTGTAGAGATCCTGGTTGTTTATAACTTCTAGGAGGGTCCTCAGCGTTTTTTTTTCTGTGGGTAGAGGTACCAAAAAGACCAGATCTTGTTCTCTTCGAGAGCTGCCAGCTCCTCCTCGACTGCCGCGTACCAATGCGCTGCATATTCTCTTCCCTGAATTTCTGCGTACGACATCGGTAGATTTTCAATGAAGGTCTCAGCATTCAACGCCAAAGACACATAGTCGTCAAGCCGCTTGGGCGCTTTCTTGGGTCTTATGCTCCTCCTCAATTCTGAACTGGACCGTCGTCAGCGGTTTGATACTCCTGGTGCTCCTCTTCTTCTTGAACCGTAGGTGATGGAGGGGGTAAATTCCTGACATCCTGCACTGCATCTTCTCCTCCTGTCGTGGTATCGTTAGCTGGTTCCACGCCGTTGTAAAAATCTGCTTCGTGTCTTCCCTGGAATTTCCTTCGCGATGTTTCATCAAAAATGACATCACATCCACTGAGCACCTTTCCATCCTCCGGTGACCATAGTCTGTAGCCGTTGTTGCAGTACCCAATCAAGAAGCACTCCTTAGATCTGGAGCTGAACTTCCCTCTAATGAGTGGCTTAGGTAGGTGTAGATAGGCTTTACAGCCAGACTTTCAGTCTCCTCAGGTTGACCTTGTGCCCGCACCACAATTCCGCAGGAACAGCCTTTTCCAGGACACTCGTCGGGCTCCTGTTGATCAAGTAGAGGATGAGTCCAAGAGCATACATCTCGCCTTCTCCAGAATTGTCCGTTCTGGTGCGGGGTATGACGGATTGTGAATTCGAATTGGATTCCACGTTGCTCAAAGTGCTCTTTCATCTCCGTAGATAGATACTCCCGACCGTTGTCGCATCTAAATCGTGAGATCTTCAGATTGAAGTGGTTCGTGGCCATGGCTTCATAAATTTTAAACTTTTGAAACACTTCCCCTTCTCCTCTTCACATAGGTTGGCCTTTTCACCAGGATGTGTCAAGATAAGCTCGTATAATGTGTGTTCCCTTCTTGCAACTGCTAGCACCTCTCCATATTTCTCTACAATTCCTTTGCCTTTTTCGAAAGTAACGACATAGCCATTTCCTAAAACTGAAACAGACAGCAAATTAAATTGCAGTCCTGGGACATACAGGACATTCAGGATAGTGATCCCGTTTTCTTTCTCATCCACAACAGATTCAACGTGGAGGTTTCCTGTTTTTGTTGCTTTAAGAGTTGATCCTGTTTTGGCGCTTTTTAATACAAATGTCATGGTCAAGCTGCTTGGCATTCTGCAAATATTTATCAACGCTCTTCCAAGCTCTTCCAGCGAAAAAAAACTAAATTCTTCTTCCTCTCCCCCCGAGTCAGCTGCAACGTGTGCCTCCTTTTCGAACTTGCTCGAGTTCTTTGATGGCTTCCTGCATTCCCGTCGAAAATGTCCATATCCACCACAGTTGTGGCACCGATAGTTCCTTTTGTCAAAATTCTTCTTGAGTTGTTTGATTTCCCTTTCGACGAATTCCACTTCTCGAGCCCAGGCGATTGAGCTGAGGACGATGAGGGCTCTCCTTCGCGTCGAACATCTAACCTCTTCGCTTGCTCATCCAGGAGTCGATTTTTGACGAAGCTCAACTTCAGGTTCTCCGTAGACAAGGTCTCAATCGCTGTCACAACAACATCGTATTCGACGGGCATTGTAAGCAGAAGGCGGCACACTACATCAGTCTCTTCTAGATTTGCTCCGGTAGACTTGTGATCTCTAATGAATTTATCTAATCTCAAGAAATGAGACTCCATGGTTTCATTACTCGAATTAAATTTCATGGTTAGCAAAGTTTTTCGATTTAATAGTTGGCTAGCTATATCTTTTCTAGCGAAGGTTTTACTCAAAGTGTCCCAAATTTCGAAAGCAGTTTTGCAATCTTTAACATGTTCAAATTGATTATCTTCAAATCTCTGTATTATTGCTGACTTAGATTTCCTATCTCGCTTTTTGTGAAGTTCCTTGGCACGTTGCTTTTGGTCCGTTGATAACTCTGTTTCATCCGCCTTTTCCAGTAGATCAGAAAGTGGGCTCCCAATATATTCCAGACACTCAAGCTCGCCCAAGTGCGTCTCCACCCGAAATTTCCAATTATCATAATTGCTTCTATCGAACAATGGAATTTTGTATGGATGTTCCTCAGACATAACCTCACTTTTAATTTCCGTGTTCAATTTTTTGTTTAAAACGGGCTTCAAACCAATTCTGGCCCCATAACCTATTAAAGTGCACTGTGTTTGCGTGTTCGGGGTTAGGCGAGTTAATTAATACAAAAAGAACTTGATTTTATTCCACCAGTAAACCAGTCATATTCTTAACGTATATACAGTGTGTAATACTACTGTTGTAGCGTCACTTAAGCTGCAAGTTGACTTTTCAACAAAGATCTATTTGAAAATCCAAACCAACTCGCTAAATTTTGATTTGTGAACTTCTATGTGCTCTCGTTACAATCCACACTAAATTGCCTTATCACTTATCACGGAAAATCTGTGGTCATGGTTTTCCGAACCAACGGCTGCAAGTAATATGTTGATTGTTCGCAACCTTATCATGACTTCCTTTAAAGATTAATAGGTACGTATTTTTAACTTGTCAATGAGAACTCTATAGGGTTTGTCAATACCTATCCTTGTCACAGTGCCAACATTTGTACTGTTTACATGGAAACAAATAAATTCGGTTATTATTAATATTACAACCTTTTATTAATGAGATAACTAATACGCAACGTGTTTGAAGGGTATAAAAAGCTGGTAATGCATCAATACCTTCCTAAACAAAATACTATCAGAAGTATTGATCTAAACTTTGGCTTTCTCCGTAAATTTTATATTTTAAACTTCTACGTATCATAGTCGAGACTTGACTTACCAAACAAAAATAACTAAGTTAATCAATTTGTGTGTAACTACATTTGCTGTACAGCGACGTTCGTTCCGAACAAAGAAGATACTTCGTAAGATTACCTAACTCGAATCAGCTACATATCGTACAGTGTCTAAAATATTTTCTTTTTTGTAGTTTCATCAATACAGTAATCCAATGCTTGGGACGTTTCCTAGGGATTCGAGACCGAAAAACCTCCAATTAGGAAATGGCAGTTCTGCAACTCTACAAAAAACAGATTTAGAATTAAACGGATTAGCCATAAAGGAGAGATTAATGGCGAACCGTTTACCCGAAAGTTGTGTCTAAAATTATGTGTTTGCCCTTTCCCTTTTTTTTAGTTTTGGTTAAAGGACCGTCCATTATGAGTGCGTCGTAAAAGAATGTTTATTCTCTTTTTATAATATATTTGCGTGTTATAAACGGACTGATAGTAATGTAATTTTGTATATAAATAATGTAAATATGTTAAAAGATGCAAAACGAATTATTGGTAATTTTTTTGTTATTTAACACACCTAGTGTTTTTTTTTGTAACGCTGTGTATAGACAATCTTAATCATAAACTAATGAAAATCACTAGTTAATGTACAGTATGTTACATACCGTGAGGGGATGTTTGATGGTATACAGTGAATGTTACAGACTTTGTTATAGAGGAGAAAAAAATGCAATTTATTTATAAATAAAGATATGTGAAAGATGATTAAATAGGAAATGTGAATATTTTAATATGTAAGGCTTTATATTAATGGCCGGTTTGCTCTTAAATCTGAATACATGTTTTTACTCCGCCTGTTATGTTAATTTATCGCTTACCATGACACTTTTCTTGACACATGAAGCGGTTAAAATTAGTCCTACATAATGGAGTTAGCACAGTTTCAATGTCATTTTCCAAGACAATTTCAGTAAAAAGGGGTTTTGTACAATTAGCCAATTACAATTATAATGCACCGATAAATTGTCTTAGTAAATGCGAAACTGTCGGCTAACTCCAAGAATAAAGGTGGTATTGACAATATCCATATCTTGAATTTGACTTGTAATAATCATTAAGGCAATAGAATTTTTTAAACATATCCAAACCTAATTTACATATCCTTGCTAATTTGTTGTGAACTTTCTACAGACATTACAGTTGAGTGATAACTGCAACAATTTCGGATAATATAATACAAATGCTAATATTAAAATATTATTAAAAATATCAATGTAACAAGAATACTATTTTTGTTAGAAATATTGTCATTCATTGAATATTTTACATTCCAGTCTGATAGTCTTGGCGAATCTTCTTGTTGTGTTGATATCCAAACACTTTAGCTATAACTAAATATTGTGATATTTTATGTAGATTACAACTGAATTGTGTCTAGATAATTCATAGCTATATAATAAATGTATAAAATTTATATTCATCTTCTGTGGTTTTTGTATATGGGGTTATATCCTCCTAGAATAATATGCTTGTAAACGTTTTTACATTCAACATTTAAATTTCTATTCTTTTTAGTACCCTTTACGCGATCTGTATCGTGCAAGTTCGCTGCAGTTAGTGATAGTTTTATTTCATAGTTTCTTATTCTTCCGCTAGAGGTCATGAATATTCACTATATTCTTCTTAACTCTTGCGTGCGCTCTCCCTATACTGAACGGAACAGATTTAATCGTGGGTTGTAAGAGAGGATTCAAACTGCCATATTTCGTCAGTACCTTTAATAAGGGATTTAATGGCCTTGTGATATTTTTGGTGAAGTTTTGTTTCTACGCTTCCCTGACTTGTGAAAACGGGGCTAACCGTTTTTGTAGTTGTAAAGTAAAGCAGTTTATTGTAATTTACTAAATAGATTAAGGCATCTTCTCAGATCCTTCCGATCAAAAAAATTGTTTGGTAGATGGTGTATGTAAGGAATACCAAACTTTTAACTTTAGTTATGCTTATTAGTTACGTGTCCCAGCTTCGCTGTGCAAATTAACCTTATATCTCGCTTCTAACTAAGAGGGAGCCCCCCATACTTCAATGTCGAAGGTAAAACTTGCTTACGCCCTCTTCTATCTGTTGTGAAAAGTAAGTACCTACCTATATAATTATACATGGTGTTATATATAAGTATGTAAAAAAAATTTGGGTGGTAGCACTTTTTCCAAATACACAGGGTCCAACGGTCTTCCTACGGGTCTCTTCTTCTTTATTCACCTCTGCTTCTTTCCCCATTACTTCGGCTTTGCTTACCTTGTTGTCACTTCCTTTGATGTATTAAATACCTGCTTGTTTGGTGATAGTTATCTGAAATTGGGGCGAGTGAAGCAGCTTAGGCTAAACAGGGCTAGTAGAGTAACAGGGGCATATCTGAACCGTTCAAGATCGCTCGCCATCTGGTGGTGACCTTGAAAAGTAGGTCAAGGTCAAACAAAAAGGTCTCTCGCCCGCAAAGATCGATAACCCCATTTTTGTGATCCCATAATTCATTTGCAAGGTTACCAAAGTTCAATGACTCCATTTTGTGGCCTCATAATTGAACTTCAATGTCATCAAAGGTCAATGATTCAATTTTTGGCAAGGTCATTGAACGCGAATCGGATCCAGACGTTAACACCAACTAAACCTTCACGTTTGGGTTCGCGTTCACATTGGATTTTGCGTTTGCCATCATCCTCTGATGAAGTTTGCAGAATGATGCCGAAACGTTATCCAAACCTAAACGCAATCGAACCAAACGTGAACACGAACCCAAACATGAAGGTTCAATTGGCGTTAACGTCTGGATCCGATTCGCGTTCACGTTTAGGTTCGATTCGTGTTCAATTTTGTATTCGATTCGCTTTCATTGAGCTTGAAAATGAAATGAAATGTCACAAAATCCAGACGTTGATTGATTCTACTTAAAACAGTGTAGATTTACTAGAATTGGGATGAAAATATTCTTGCCAATAACAAGCGGTCAAGCCTATCGAACTCAGGTATTTCAAGTTTTAGGTTTCCTCCGACAATGGCGGTGCATTTAGTTTATTCTATGAATCTAATTTTCGATAATGCTCTTTTTAATTTCTTTTTCCACCGCCTCCTTTTTGGAACACGGTATGCGGCAATTTAAAGCTACTGCATGCACCAGACTATATACTTTGAGTTGATAAAATATATTAATAAAAACAAAGGCAATCAAATTTCATTTTTCTGGACACGGGCACGCTTCTGGATGTAAATTTGATTTATAAAGAAATACAAAAAAATGCAATGTGTATTTCGTGATCACGTGTCCATGATAAATTCCATTACCTAGATATTTTATAGGCGTCACACACTCCTAGTAACACAAAATATTTATTAAACAAAATGTCAATCCAACCACAGGAAGGGTGGCACTAAAATTAATTACAGATTCCCAACTGATGAACAAAATAACCAAATTTCTTTGTTTGGTTTAATGGTTCTCATAGGTCGATTCCATTAGGAATATTAAAATTTACTTAAAACAAAATTAATATGCAAATTCAAAACAACCGACCACCACTTTATACAAATAAAAAAACTTACAGTTGACGTGGATATTCTTGTCTGGTAACAAATTGATCTTATCACTCCTGGGAAAGCAGTGATCCTTTAGAAATATGAAAACAGATCGCTTCCATGGTACAGGTGACTCCGTGATGAATTTGCAAATCAGGTCTGTCCATACGTTTTGCGGAGCTAAGCAGGCCGGATTGAGCTTCACGTAAAATAACGCTTGGGGTTAGTATTATGCACCGGAATAAAATTCCACTGTTCCGCTGTGTAAATATTAATTTTGTTTAATTTCATCAAACACATTTGCTCAATTTATTCACTAGCTGAAATGTATCGATTAATTGTCTTTAAATTCCCTGCCGTATGCGGTTGTATATAAAATTGTATTTATCATACAAGGCGCTTTCCAAAGATATCACTCACTTGTTTCTAACTAGCCGTAACTGTTCGCAATTCGAAATAATTTTCTCTGTTTATCACAATGAGTTTCATATCAGTTCATTTAGTAGCGTTTTGTTTTTAAAAGCGTTTCTCGCACGCAATGTCATAAGGGCATCTAATTTTACTGAAAAAAATCAAAAACGCACATTGCTAAGTAGCATTTTACCAAGAAGCAAGAGTGCAGATGCTGGAACCGGCACGAATTTTAAGTATGTAATTTCTCTCGAAATGATGGATGGTGGCAATTATTCATTTTAAAGAACTCCTTGGGCGTGCCTTAACAACCAATAGAAAACTCGCATTTCCGCAACGTGCTCGGCTTTAAACAGAACGCAACGGAATTTTTAGCTCCCAAGAGATCGTGGATATCGCTTGTTACCACCAAAGATACTTTCGTACACGTTCGCTATGAAGCGGTGCATGTGGAAATTTCCCTATATTGATCAAAATACAAATTCAAAACTACACGGCCAAGCGGTACAATATGTCGGCTACTCTCCATTCCTTTCCTTCTTAGCAAAGATCATACTACACTAGATAGACAGCGCTGTATAAATTTTAGACTCTCATAATTCGTCCCGCCAAATAAGTCGACTGCGTCCTCCAGCGGCTATGTTTTTATGAGAATAGTACAAACTACCTGGCGGGGTAAGAAGACGCGCGAAATGGCAAAGCACAGTTATTTTTAGAATAAAGGGCTATTGTATGGGATATCGGTGTCATTCCTAAGCGCAACCTTGTGTGGGTGTTATAGATGTTTTTATCTGGTTACCTTACTGTAAATTAAAATACCGAATATTCACATCTTGATTTAAATTAAATTTTTTATCGTAACACAACGAAGTTGTGGTAAAGCTTATGTGCTCGTGTTTCCATCTGTCCGTCCGTCTGTCCATCCGTTCCATCGAGATCTCGGCCCCTGGGCCACCTAGAGACTTCGGGTTTTCGCTAATTGATAGCCGTTATGGTCTATATTTGCCCATTTCGATCAGTTTCGTATTTTCCATATTTTGCGCAGACTGCGCAATGCCAACTTTCATATTTATGGAGATATTTCTTTGAAATTTTAACCACAGACGCTTCTAGTTCCGACTCACTTTAGCTGGACACAATTTTATTATGTAGGAGGCTAAGCGGGATATCTCGTTTATCCCAATCATAAAATGCTTAATTACAACAAATCTAAATTAGATAAATGTGTGGTTACAATGTAAATATGCCTGGATAAGTAGGTGCATATTATCACAGATTTATAGTATATTTAAATCTGTGATATTATATTTGAAGATTTGCTAAAGTATCGTAGATACGTGAAACTAAAAGTTTTCAGAAATTATGCTAAGAAAAAAGACGCTTTTGCAATTATTAATTTAATCCGAAAATCTGGAAAATGTATTGGTTAGCGCTGGTTAAAAAAAAGCAAAGGGAATATTGTGTACAACTTTCAAATTATTTCTTTCATTGTAACGTCCTGACTGTAATAGAATCTACCTCGTCTTGAATGACGCCCACTTACAAATGTAATTTTATCCCAATGATAGTGAGGAATGTTCAGTAGGTCATGTTTATGTGTCTCGTGTTTAGACAATAATCACTCTTTGTATTTATGATATGATTCGAACTTGAACGAAGACGGCTTCGGATGAATCAGTTACGTTCTTAACTTTGAAAGCCCCCTATAAATATTTTTATGGAACTACTTAAACGCGAAACAACTCTTGCATATACGCTGGCTATCTAGTGTAGTATGATCTTTGTTCTTAGTAAAGCGTCATGATTTCGCGTTACGTATTTCCTAAAATATCTCGACTTTCTTTGATCACTGGAGTATTTATTTCGCCAGTTATTAAGGGTGCAATGTTTTAAATGTGCCACCGTGAATAAAGAATCTTCTTCCTGTGAGTTCATGGCACGTTTATCTATAGGTTGAAAAGGAAACGATAGGAAGTCGATATTTCATATGACAAAGATTTTACTCAGATCCTAGATATCGCAAACCGGCGTTTTAAAAATGAAGCAGCGTAAAACAAAGGAATTATGATGAATACGGGTAGAAGCATGAATTGCCCTAGAATATTCCTGAACGGCTGACGCTTAGAATAGGGATCCTGGAAAGAAATAAGATTGCGACGTTACCAAAAATATGGGCGTTATAAAAATTAAGGTCGCTTTTATGAATCGCTTTGTATTACTACTTATTACTTACCATTATTATTTAAGTAACTGCAAATAAATTCCATTCTGAACAGATGCAATAGTATCACGTCCACGTTATACCAAACACCATTCTAAGCATGGCAACATGCGTTTGTAATTAAGGTATCGTCACATAAATTAATATTGATTGCTGAACTCGAATTTACAATAAATCAATCGAACTTTACCCCCTAACTAATTCGGCGCTTTAATGGATGGATAATGACTGATGCACATACTCGTATTTCACTCATAGACTTTAATTAACAATATGTTTTAACAATCTGTAAACTTTTACCATTATAACTAAAGGCTGCCGGTAAATATACCCCAAATCGCATAGAAAAAAATGCCTACATTTTTCCAAATAAAGCAAGGTCCAAAAATGATTCGCCTTTAATTTTTTGTCCTACAGAGAAATTCTTTTAAGAGTACAATTGTCCCATGTATCGGTTTAAATGGAGCACATAAATGCAGGGAAGGATTTGAGGGAACTTAATACCGCCCATGGACGCAGTCTATTTAAAATTGAGAAATTGATTACTTATTTTAATGTAATCTTTAAGTTAAACATTAGGGCGCATATTTTATTCAACACAAAAAGGAAAAAAATAAAATCATTGCCACAGTCGCAGCTGGCAGTTGCGCAAGAAGAACGAAGGCAACATACACCTTCCAAAAAAAAAAACGAAAATGGAATTCATTTCCCTCCCGAAGTCCTAACTACTCGATGACCTTCTCCAGGAGTTTTGGAACTCCATGACAACGCCCCCTACAACTTCAGGTAGCGTAACCCACACAAAAATTTAAAAATAAATGACTGCCTTCTTTTTCTTTCTTTTCAGATAACGGTGCACTAAGAAACCGTGTGCACGTCGTGTTCTTTCGAAATAGACACCAGATTCAAACTTCTCCTATAATTAATTAAGTCGGTGCGTTTTTGTATTCCGAATTACTCATTCTGCAGAGTAAAGGAATTAACATTGAACCCGGGGAGAGTGCCATGTTTTCGAACTACACTAAGACTTTAAAATTTTTGGTTTGGGGGCCATTTCTCGAAAAGTTTTATTTGCATATCTTCCATTTTTCTTTTCGAGAACCATGTCACATGAATTGAACTAATGCATATTTGGACAATCGTAAAGTAGTATACACATTTTAAAATTTATTCTGCATTTCCTAGTTATTCGTGAAGATTATATTTCCTTAATTCTGACGGTCGCTTTAAATCTGTTCTAAACGGACATCTCGGCAGGAAAGCAGGTATGTTCTAAATGTGAACAAAAATGTTAAACAAAAATCTCAACTGCAAATATTTACAGGCATATGACCACGCACTCTCTGTCTCTTAGGCCTATTTTTTAGATACCACACACCCAATAACACATGCCTTCCTCGCTTGGATTTTTGAGAAAAGACCTAAAAAAGAAACGGTAATTGTGGAGCGTTTGGAGACGTAGTTCCCCCACGAAACATTTTGGGTCACCAGGAAATATGTTTGTCTTGACGCCCTCTATCCCTCCAGTGAGCACCCAGGTATTAGGTAAAACCACCAGCAAATGAAGAAAAGGTTTATTATCGCTACAACCATTACAAAAAGCTAATTTGCTGCTGCCCACATCCACCTTAAGAAGCTGTAATTTTCGCGGGCACCTCAAAGCACATGACGTCCTTCCCATCACTGGTTACCAGTCCCCAGTGGACAACAATTCGTATCTGCAATACTAAATTGTAAACCTTGGCATACAAACGTCACAACATACAAGTGGATATATCGGCAGAATTTCGAAGTGATTCTTGTAAACGTAGGATGTACCCGCTTTCAAAGGACACCCGGCTTTCGTCGTTCCATCGGCTGCAAAAATGTTCACGCAAGCGTCTGTACCATCGACGCCTATGAAGGGAAATGGTAACGAGCCTAGTAATGCGCTCACACTGTTCGATAGACCCTTAACGTCTTCCTCTAAAAACACAATGTGAGAAAATAAGTTAATTAATAAGCAATACCTGGAGTGAAACGGAACTCCACGTCGACAACACGACCTTTTCTTAAGCGACATGGATGCTTTTTGCAACTTCCGACGGTTATCGACTGTTTGTAATCCTCTGGAGAGCGCGCTGTAAAGAAATAGCGTTAACCGTGAAAAATGCAATTTTCTACAATTGTAATATCTAGTGCTTACACATAGGTTACGTCGAGTAAGAGTTCTTATTGTTGCGGATCGTGTTATTTGTATTTTTTTTAAGATTTTGCATGTAAAAGAAAACAGTATTGCCATTCCAGCAAGCCCTGCCGCCATACCTTAGCACCCCTACGGACGCTTTCCGAAGAGAAGGTTTGATATTGTCAGCAGCAGATCAACGATAGAAGGTATTTCCGGTTAGTTAGTTAGTAACCGAGAGACCCTGCCTGATTCGTACAGTCTAGAGGGGCTATGTGGAGATATTGGACGTGTAGTTTTTTAATTTCATTGCAAATATCCAGACACCTGATGAGGGGCTTATGTTTTAAAAAGTTTTTTTTGAATTGTCATATAATTTTTTATATGTTTTTTAACGTTGCCAAATAAAAGTTAAATAAAGTTTCTTATTTGAAGATAAAACTTTATATGCACGCGATTGATATATGAATTTGATATTGAATAAGAATAAGTGTTCATGTCCAACCGAATTTAGTTAATTTGAATAATGTGTTTTCGATTTATGTATTTCAGCTTCCCACTTGTATTTTTTTCAGCATGGTAATTAAAAGAATACGAACCACTTCGATAATCAATTAATAAATCTACTGTGGTGTTATTTACCTTGTAACTAAGCACCCGTTTTGCGTCAGACCTAATGAACGCACTGTATATAAATGCACTCAATCAATATAGTGTAGAATTAATTGATAGTAAAAACAAGATACTGTATATAAATAAATGAATTATTTTTGCAACATCCGAAAGCTCCCGTCATTTGGGAGATGAGAGAAAATTAATATTTTATGATTTCAGTTCCGTTTATTAATTATTCGCCGATTTTATGTTTGCAATGCTTAGTGAAAACCACGATTAACACGAGCAAGGTCGTCAAATTCTATGAAGATAAAGACCCCCTTTCACTTTATGTGAAAATTCGGAGAAACAGTGTGTATCATTGGACTTTTAAATTTACAAATTTTAATCCGGCCAATTAGGTAAGTATAATTACCGGTAGCTGGATTAGAGGGGAGGCGGTAAACGGTGACTGATTGAAGTGTGCTTGGAGTCATTTGAAGCGCGATTATTTATCTTGATGTTTGATCCGGGTCTCAGATCTTTATCAAGCCATGGAGCCGAGCAATGAATTAAAGAAAGTTTTAATATATGAGCAGTTTGTACGAGTTCGTCATGATGGTTGGAAGGTGTGCTTTACCGAAATTGCCGAATGGTATATAAGGCGAGAGATCAAAAAACGCTCATTTTTTCCAACTTTTCTATAAAAAACTGAGTTAACCTTCTTATTATATTGTAGAACATCAATCAGAGTTCAAAAAGTACCAACAATTTAAAATTGGACCAATTTCTGAAATTCGTTGGAAAAAATGGGGGTTTTTTGAACGCTTCTAAAAATTTTTCTATTAGACCGATTTTCTTTGTTTTTTTTTTGGATCGAAGCAGAATTTTTGTTTAATTTACTAAAGAAGTGTTATTCATAAAATATGGACCGTTTTCGAGTTTTAAGTGAAAAACTGAAAAAATGCGAAACATTTTGGGGTTTTTTTGACTGCCAAAAGTTGCGCCGGGAAAAAATGTGTGTGCATTCTTCAAATACATGTTATTTGGACCCAAATGGACCATTTAAAACAATAAAATCTTTTACACCACCTTTTTGCAGGTCAAAATTATGAGCATACTGGACTACACGGCTAATTCTGACAAGTTATTAGTACCACGCTTGTAATATCTCGATTTCTGTTTGTTGTTAACATCTACCTATTTATTGTAACAGTCTGTATTTATTAATTTTGGTTTAAGTAGCTCTAAATGTGTAGGTAATTGATCTCTGAGAGAACGAGACATTAGAAGTTGAGCGGGCGCGGCGAATGACCTGGGGCGGCGACTTATGGGGGGCAACGGGGCCCATGACCCCATACAAGGTGATTTTAAGAGTCCATTGCCCCCATGCAAATTATATTACATCTTTTAAACCCATATTCACAATCATAGTCCTAATCTAATGTGGCCCCGAGACAGAGATGTTAGACAGCGACCCAGCGGCATTTACGAGCGCATTGTGCGCCCATCTCCGCATAGCCCATTTTTGCGGAACGCCGGTGTGGCTAGCATGACCCACCGACTTTCTTCGGTGTACCATTACTTAAATATATAATGAAGTAGATCCTAATTTATGATCCCTATTCTTCACGAAAATTGACCCTTGCCCCCATTCAATAAATTAAAACCCGCCGGCCCTGCGAATGACTACTACCATTTGAGTCCGTGAAGTTGGAGTGTCGACTTGAATGGAATTAAGTCCCATGTATCTCATAATTTTGTGCTCATTTTGTGCTAATTTGTGCTGCTAATTTAAAATTTTGTGCTCATCAGCTTAATGAGTAATTCAACTTTCTCTGATGACACTCCAACTTCAGGCTGGAGTGTCAACATTGATATTTTCAAAATTTTCTTTTACTATAATTTTGTGCTAATTTGTGCTGATAATTTAAAATTTTGTGCTCATCAGCTTAATGAGTAATTCAACTTTTTCTGATGACACTCCAACTTCACGCTGGAGTGTCAACATTGACATTTTCAAAATTTTCTTTTACTATAATTTTGTGCTCATTTTGTGCTAATTTGTGCTGCTAATTTAAAATTTTGTGCTCATCAGCTTAATGAGTAATTCAACTTTTTCTGATGACACTCCAACTTCACGCTGGAGTGTCAACATTGACATTTTCAAAATTTTCTTGTACTATAATTTTGTGCTAATTTGTGCTTCTAATTTAAAATTTTGTGCTCATCAGGTTAATGAGTAATTCAACTTTCTATGACGACACTCCAACTTCACGCTTGAGTGTCAACATCGATATTTTCAAAATTTTTTTTTACTATAATTTTGTGCTCATTTTGTGCTAATTTGTACTGCTAATTAGCAGTCCATGTACTGTATTGTCTAAGTTGGAAACCTATAATATTCTAGACACCGAAAGAATTGTAAAGATATTCATAGAAAAAGAATATGATGGTGTAAAGATAGAAAGCTAATATTCTCCAAAAGGTTTCGCAAATACTTGCAGTTAGTAATGAACAATTAGGTACATCTCCAGGTGTAAATATTTTCGAAGTAGGTTATGCAATGTCGTCTCACGTGACGTTGTCAATGTCAATTTCGCTAAGATGGCGGGTCCAGGTAAATTGTTGTTCTATGGGTAAAATTGCGATGTCATCCAGGTTCTGCGTAAGAAATATCCAGGTAGAGAATAACGTAAAAGTAATCCAGAAGAGAAAATGATAAGAAGTTAAGAGAGAAGTTTGAGCGAACCTTGAGGGAAGATAAAACCCTAAAAAACGTATTAAGAAAAATGCTGAAGTATATACCTCACACTAATTACTTGCAAAGCGTATTCAATGGAGCACAGCCACAGCACATCAGAAATAGAGAAAAAACACTCAATAGAAATATGTTCACAGCCAAAACAGATTGACACAAGGTCAAGTAAAAAGTAATGGCGTATCGAGAAAAATTTGCACGCAATTAACCCAGATCCAGATCGTCTCTGAAAGGAAGAAGTATAGGACATGCGTATGTAGAAAAAAAAGAAGATCACGACCTCTAGTAGCGAACCAAAGAACTATGGTAATAACAAATATACTATAGAAATGACTGGCATCTAAACTAAACGGGTTTACAGAGGGAATACCTAGATGGGGTGAGAAATATAGAGAGGTGCAACTCGATTAATTTAGATGAGGCTTATTGCAAGATGCTTCAGTACATCGGCAATTTGGTAAAGAATAATCGATTTCCGCAGATGTAGCAACGTTTATTTATTTATTTACTATTCCTCTCTTGTTCTGGGCCCTCAACAGGCTTACGCCCAATTACAGAGTGACCCGCATAGTGCTTTTTAGAGGTGCCACTGCAGAGAAGGTATTAAGTTGTTTTATACTACTCCGGTATTTACCTTACGAATTAGGAAAACTGCAGAAAACGTCATTCAGAGTAGCCGGCAGAATGCTCGCAACTGGTCTAAGGTATCTGCCACAGATGAAAAATTCACCTCAATCCAGGTTCGAACACCCGACCTCCGGAATTATAGTCCAACGCTCTTTCATTGGTTTTCAATCGGTTTGTGTTGTTGGGTGGCCTTTAAGCATCAGAGTCGCACGTCTAACACACTCACACCCCCCCCACTGTGGACTGTGGGCACGGGAAGCTTCGGGAATATGTATCGCAATTTTACATTATAGTTGCGCCTCTTTGCTATTTCTCACTCAACAATCAACGAGTAAAATTCGAAGTATATAAGGAATATAAATTTGGAATATCAATTGGTAAGAAAAGAACGCTACATTCTCCTTTCCTTGTTTTATTCCTGGTTGCCGTATTTACCGCTCATCAACAAACAATCAGATATTTAAATTTGTGGTCTCTACGCTTCATGCTTCTTGCTAAACAAAACCAAAACTGGTGAATACTCAAAATGTTTCCTCCAAAATTTACCACCCCTAGAATTTGCCGCTCTAGGCGCGCAACTAGTCCGCCTTGTGGGAAATACACCCCTGGATGTAGCTCAAGGGAGAGTAATAAAAAAAGAGAGCGAAGCCGCAAAAGGCACCTTACTGTGGACATAAAAGTTAAAAGTAAAGAGGTTTGGGCCTAAGGCGGCGAGTAAATTGCGAGCATTTTTCATGCATTATTCGGGACTTCCATAGTCCATTGTTATGTGACCTATGTTTTTCGTTATTAGAAGCATCTATAATTAAAAATAATGAAGTTATAGTATTGGGCGGTTTGCGCATGCGCATATCTAATATGGGACGTTTGCCTTTACTAGAATGTGGTTAAATTTTCCAAAAAATATCTATAAAAAAAGGATGCGGGCATTGTGCAGTCTGCGCATGCGCACACCTGATTTTTACCATTAGCGATATGTTT